TTTTTTTTTTGTTTGAAAAATTCCATAAATAAAATTGAAACAGCAAAATAAACTGGACTCTTTTTAAAGAGAGAGAAGCCTAAACATTTTAAAATAGCAGTTTAATAAAAAACCAAATTAAAAACAATTCACTAAAAGCAAAAAAAATAAGGGTCATCAAATAAAAAGGATTAACTTTTTAATATTCGATTTTCCTTTCAATCAACAAATTCCCTTCAAATCCTAAATCCAAATACAGCCTAAGAGAGATGGGAAAAAAAAAAAAAAAAAAGAAGACCTATCATATTACAAAATTAAACTGTAACAAAATCTTTGTTAAAAAAAAAAAAAAAGAACAGTTATTCAGGCCCAAAAGTTTGACTTATTTTATAGGTCTATTGATATGTTTAGAAAAGGACTGGTTGATAATTAAATATTATCTAATTATCAACCAATCATCTTCTTAACACATCACTAGGTCTATAAAATGGGTATAAAAAATGAACTTGCATAAGTATTCACATAATTTATCATACATTCCAAAAAAAAAAGTATTCTCTAGAAATTGAACAGCTATATACCAAGATACATAACTAAAAGCTTAATGTGTAATCTAATTATTGAAATGGGTTTGAAATGGTTTCAACTTTGAATCTATATCCAACGGTAAAGATAAAAGAGACAAAATCTCAAATTAATCTCAACCATTCAATCTCATGGACACTTAGGATAGATGTCCCATCTGGGAAAAAAAACATAGCTCCCTTATTATATAGATTGGCACAGGTTTTGTTAGACATGGCTTTCTTAGACATGGCTTCTCAATATATATATATACATACTGGAATCATACATAAAGAGAGGGCTTGGGGTTTGAAAAATACGAAATGTGGTTTAGATTTCCATACTTACCACATCTGTAAAATTAATTTAACTCCTAATAAAATTAATAAAATTCAAACTAATAATAGATTAATTTAACTCCTAATAGATTAATTTTACAAACTAATAAAATTCAAATGTTATCGAATGTTACAAACTAATAAATTCGAACGTTATCAAAATGCTATACAAACTAATAAACATGTGTTTTATGCAATAAATAAAACTCAAACTAAGGCCTTATTTGATTAGTAGGTCAACAAAATAGTAACACTAATACTACCAATCAAACATGCCCTAAGTGTCATTCAAGGAGAAAAGAAAAAACAAAAAAAAAAGATTAATTTAACTCCTATCTATATTGGTTAAATTTGAAACATTAGATAAAAAGTCAAAAACTAATACAAAAAATAAACCCATTCAACACAAAAAAAACAT